TTTATATTTATATTTATATTTATATTTATATTTATATTTATATTTATAAGGTGTTTTAGTAGTTCCCTCCAAACCCTTGACAAAATTACGATGCAATATAAGTCTATCTGCTAATAATTGTCAATAATTATGATTAAGGAGACAGTTGTAATAGAGTAGGAAGAAAACGAAACACTCAGCCAGTTAATAAGATAATGTACGTGAAGATGGTGCTATAGACTTGAAAGGATTATGCAAACATAAGCTACAATTATTTTTATCATCGATTTGTCACCAAATAGAAATTTATGCATGTAAGTTGTGTGTATGTGTGTGTGTGTGTGTGTGTATGGCAATAAGTAATCAATCAGTTTAATTGCAGTGTAACTTTAAATCGGGGTTTCTCAGCCTCAGTACTACTAAGATTTTAGGTGATGTCCTTGCTGTGGGAGTCTGTCCGTGTGTTGTAGGATGTTTAGCAGCTTCCCTGACCCACTAGACCTGACCCACTAGGGGCTACTAGAAATTCTTCCACCTCCTCCCTCAATTAGTCACCATTAGAAATGTCTCTGGACAATGCCAGACAATGCAAAATTGCTCCTGGTTGAAAACCCTGTTAAAGCCTAAGAAAAATGTAAAAATTATGGCTCACCCACACAAACTGAGGATGAGAGACAGCCAGTATGAATTGGAAGCAAAGATGTCCCTCATTGGGCACAATATGGCTACTGAACACTTAAAACGTGGCTAATCAGAAATGAGAAATGTTGCAAGCGTAACATATGTAGGAAAGGAAGACGTAGTATGAGAAAAAGAATGCAAACGATTTCAATAACTTTTTATATGGATTACACACTAAAGTGATATTTTGGATATGGAGGGCTAAAATAAAATACATTACCAAAATGAACTTTATCTGTTACTGTTTACTTTTTTTAAATGTGGCTACTAGAGAAGCTAAAATGACACACTGGCTCATGTTATATTTCTATATTTCTATCAGACAAGGGCTGAACTTGAGCGAAAACTATCCCTCCTTCACATTAATATTCTAAGCAGCCTTTCTTTGATGACAGGGAAGGGAACTCAAAAGAGCTCTGTCCTCAGTTTTTTCCTTACATTCTCTATATTCGCCTTGGATGAGCTCTAGTCTCAATGTTTCAATGAGATTACTATTTACAGATAACTAATCTCCAAACTCTATCTCCTGTCCATAGCTCAACTAAAACCTTGATCCACAGCACCTGGCTGGCTAAGTTGGTAGAGCATGGGACTCCTGATGTCAGCATCATGAATTTGGGCCCCACATTAGCTGTAGACATTATTTAAAAAATAAATAAACTTAAAAAAAAAAGAGACAGAGAGAACCCTACTTTAAATAAATAAGTAAATAAATAAATCAATCCTAGATCCATATATCCAACTATCAACTTAACAACCCCACTTGGGCATCCTGGATGAACCCCAAACTTAAATGATCCTCATCCCAAACAAGATTCCTTCAGGATTCCTCATTTTAGTAAATGGCCCCATTGACCAGGTTCTCAGGCCAGAAACCTGAAAGTCATCCATGAGTGCTCTCTTCTTCATCCCCCTTGCAATCTCTCACAAAATTCTGCTTCATTTACTTCCAAATATTTCTGGAATCCTCCTTTCTCCCACCCCACGGCCTAGGCCAAGTCACCATTACTGTGCCCTATATCAACTCCCTCTTCCCCTTTATACTGTTACTACACCATACCCTGCCCTTCTCAAAAGTGCTGTCTTTCCTACTAGAACATCATACTACATGAAGTCAGGCACTTTCTTGTTTGTTGCTATGTCTCTGGTTCTTTGACGAAAAAATGAATGAAAGCATAAAGAGGGTACAAACTACTACCTTACAGGTTGCAATTTACTAAGGAGCTGGACTGTAAGAATAAGGGTTCCATTAGCATATGAGGCCTGGAAAATATCAGTCTTTATGTCTAAATACAGACTTAGGTGTAGACACAAGTCCTAGGGTTCCAGAAGTGGGAAATGTGCTTGGGCACCACATGCCCTGTACTCTCATCCTTCACAGATCTCTCTACTGTGCCTCAACTCACACTGTAAACTCTCTATATGTTGGGTGAGGAAAGAACTTCTGAGAGTGCCTTTTATAATCCTCCAGCCCTCCGGGAAAATGATGCCTGACATTTCCCATCTTCAGCACCATTGTCTCAGAGTATCTATAGTTTCAAAGTTACCCAGTGAAAAGCAGCTAAAAGTTATACAAAGCTTTAAACAATCATGAACTATTTCTGAAAGAAAATTATTCTCCAAGAATAGAAGTTCAAGACAAATCTCTTCTCATTAGGGATCCTCAATCTACCTCTGCGCCTAAGCCAGCCTTCATTCCCCTATCCATGTACAACTAGTTTGAAAGGGTGGAGAATGGACCATGGCCGTGTCTATCCTAACTAGTAAGTTACAGCTGCTGCTGATTAGAAAGTTTGAAATGACAAGAATTTTATAGATGTTAGTGGTGTTCTGGGTATTCCAGAACTGGGCTAAGAAGGAGGAACTTGTAAAAGATTCCAGGCAATGTATGTATTTAGAGAAGAACATGTAGACACATGGGCAAAAACCACACCCATGTCTCCATTCACCTTTTGCCATGGGCTCTCCTATAAGGGGGAGAGTAGTGGTGTGGGTAGGCAGGGTGTGGTGTTATGTGATAGGGACCAGGCAGGAGCTGAAGCACAGCACGTCAAGGCCAGGGTGAATTGCAGGTCCAAGGGCACTACATAGGTTACATGTATGTAACTCTTTTCTTTTATTGTCTTATCCAGAAATTATACAAAAGACCACTCTTACAGTATGAGGAGGGGAGGTGGGGTCTCAACTAAAGAAAGGTTAGGAACCTTTTTTTTAAGTTTATTTATTTATTTATTTATTTATTTATTTATTTATTTATTTTGAGAGAGAGAGAGAGAGAGACAGAGACAGAGAGAGTGAGAGAGAGCACAAGCACACATGCAGGGCTGAGAGGCAGAGAGAGAGGGAGATAGAGAATCTCAAGCAGGCTCTGTGCTGTCAGCTCAGAGCCGGATGTGGGGCTCAATCAGAGCGTCTGACTCTTGATTTAGGCTCAGGTCATGATCTCATGGTTTGTGGAATTGAGCCATGAGTAGGGCTCTGAGCTGACAGTGTGGAGGCTGCTTGGGATTCTGTCTTTACCTCTCTCTCTGCCCCTCACCCCCGTGTGTGTGCTTGTGCTCTCTCTCTCTCAAAAATAAATAGACATTAAAAAATTTTTTTTAATGTCTATTTATTTATTTTTATTTTTTTTTTTTAAATAGGAACACACCTTTTTATTTATTTTTGAGACAGAGAGAGACAGAGCATGAACGGGGGAGGGACAGATAGAGGCGGAGACACAGAATCGGCAGCAGGCTCCAGGCTCTGAGCCATCAGCCCAGAGCCCAACGTGGGGCTCGAACCCACGGACCATGAGATCGTGACCTGAGCTGAAGTCAGACGCTTAACCGACTGAACCACCCAGGCGCCCCAATGTTTATTTATTTTTGAGAGAGAGAGAAACAGAGTGTGAGCAGGAGAGGGGCAGAGAGAGAGAGAGGGAGACACAGAATCTGAAGCAGGCTCCAGGCTCCAACCTGTCACAACAGAGCCCAACATGGGGCTCAAACTCATGAGCTGCGAGATCATGACCTGAGCCGAAGTCAGCTACCCAACCGACTGAGCCACCCAGGCACCAAGACTTTTTTTTTTTTTTAATTATTTTCTCTTCATTTTTTCTCCTCTGATAACCCCCAGAAGAAAATGATGACAATTACCAACCAGGCTCACACCAATTTAGGCAGTGGGATAAAGAAACTTGGCAAAGAAGCAAAGCTTTTCTGCACTAGATGTTCTGTGTCTTTCTGGAAATGACTCAAAAAGTGATGAGTACCTTCACAGAGCCCATTTTTTTCCCTTAAAATGTGGTGACTCTTTTCCATAATAATGTTCAACACTTGCCCTATCTTAGCAAAAGCATCTCTTTTTAGTAATTAATAAGAGCAAGGTAGCCAAGATATAACAAAATGAAGTAGCAGACTTGGAAAAAACAAATAGAGGGCAGAATTCTGACTTTACTACTTGGTCTTCACATGACCTTAGGCAAGACTCTCAGCCACATATTCTCAGCTGGGGTGATCCATCCCAATGGTACAAAAACTGGCTCAGGGAGTGGGTAGTTTAAGATCTTATTCTTTGTCTGTTAAGGCACAGATATACACACAGTACATAAATAAGACATACTTCATGAGAGGGAAGATTAGGAGAAAGTAATGTCTAAAAGGGCTCTTTGGGTGAGAGAAGGGTGGTAACAAACAAAAGGTTGAGAAACACTTTCCTTGGCCTCCATTTCCTCACCTGTCAAAATGGGTATTACCCACCTTAAAGAATTATTATGATAGAATCATATCTAAATACATACAAAGAGAATGAGAGACAGAAAATAGAGAAAACAAGCAAAGTTGTAAAATAGTCATTAAAATAGAAAACACAAAGACCTAAATGTATATAGATTAATGCCATCTAATAATCAATTGTATAACAAGACCGTTTTCTTCTCACTACTCATTTTACCAACTGAATACCTAATCCAAAAAGAAAATGTACAATCATAGTAAAAGTCAATTAATTAGTAAATGTAAGAAGAATCTGTAAATGCGACAAAGATACAAACCTAAAACACCAATTTTCAGGCCTGCCAAGCTTGTTTTAATTTTATCATAAATATCTTCTGATGCAAAGTCAACAGCAATGGTCATTGTTTCCACCTTGAATTTTTCTCCTAGGGAAAAAAAAAAAAACACAAATGAGAGAGAGAGGGAGAATTACAACATGACAATTAAGATGAAAACAACTGATGACATTATCTTTTCAAACCCTTTTCCCTGTCCAATTCGATATGAAATTTAGACCAGGATAATTTTAAGCAATCATGAGACCATCTAAGAGATGATACAGAGTCAACACAATAATTCTGCAATAAAAATTCCAGTGTTGTTACAGAGCTGGCTGACTGCTCCTTAATCAGTTCTTCCTCTATAAATCAGTAATGACTCCTTTTTAGACCTGTAGGTACAAATAATAAAACATGTAGGGCATCTGGGTGGCCGACTATAGCTCAGGTCATGATCTTGTGGTCTGTGAGTTCAAGCCCCGCATCGGGGTTTGTGCTGAGAGCTCAGAGCCTGGAGCCTGCTTCCGATTCTGTGTCTCCCCCTCGCTCTGCCCCTTCCCTGCTTGCTCTCTGTCTCTGTCTCTCAAAATTAATAAACGATAAAAAAATAAAAAACAAATAATAAAACATGATTCGTATCATAATGTTATATACTGTTTAAATATCACTGGTTTTGTGATTTTAATTGCAAACAATGCTTCATAATTTCAGGAAGAAGGATTTATATTCCAAAATGTTTTAAAGTGTGATATATAAAAGTCCATCTTATTAGGGCACCTGGTGGCTCAGTCGGTTAAGCATCTGACTTTGGCCCAGGTCCTGTCTCGTGGGTCATGAGTTTGAGCCCCTCATTGGACTTTCTGATGACAGCTCAGAGCCTGGAGTGTGCTTTGGATTCTGTATCTCCTCTCTCTGCCCCTCCTCTGCTTGCTCTCTCTTTCGAAAATAAATAAACATTAAAAAAAAAAAGTACATCTTCTTAAAATGGAAATAAAATTAATATGATCGTAATGGAATTTAGAGGCTTGGTTAATAGTTAATAGCCACTACATTAAAGAATCCACACAAAATGCACAATAATACAGCTGCAAAGTGACATAAGAAAAGACCTCACTCAGTTTTCTACTTTGTACAGGACTGCTGAGGTACAAACAGAGCTAATGAAAATAACAGATTGAGAAATGAGACTCTGGAGAAACTGACCTTACTGAGGTAGTACAGAATTTTACTTCTGCCCTCACTCATGAGCCCATTTGAGAAGATGGCATGGACTGTGAGGTCCCCCAGGCACAGGTACCAATTTTACTTTCACACATATTTGCTAAATGGCTTTGCAAGTCACATTTCCTCCATGAGCCTCACTCAGCAACCTCTCCCGAAAATGAAGGTGAGGCTACCCAGCTTAAGATTCGAGGCTCATGTGGTATCTAGTGATATACAAGAGGCACTCCATAAATGTTGGTCCCCTCTCTCCTCCACTAACCCTGTTCTCACTTCACTTAGTGAAGTTCAGGTAACCAAGAATGTTTACTCTTTGGAACTTGATGAGAATCCAAAAGAATTTAAAAATCCTGCTTCCAAAAAAATAGATTTTTCTTCATTTGAAGTTGATGCTGGCTCATCACAGAGTATGCAACATTGATCCACACAGGTCACCGTTCTTGATCCACCACTAAAGAGCTGGTTCACGAGAGATCAGTTTCTTAGTCTCAAGGAAGTATTGACCTTAGGTAGGAACCCATGAACGAACTAGAGATGAGAATATCTGACCTACAAAATATCGTATCTGGTGTTAAAGGCACACTTACTATTCCAATATAAATGAGTTATTATATGTGTTCATGTAATGGAGAGCCACATACACAGTTGTCATTTTATAATAGCTGGTTCAACAGGTCTTATTATAAATGGTTCCCAGGATTTATCACCAGAAAGTAAAGAACACTGCCCTTATTAGAGCCACAGATTCACAAGAAAAAAAGAGCCAAATCAAAAGGCTGAAGGATACCTTTTATTAACTGTAAAACTTTATTCAGGAATAAAATAAGATAAACTTATCTATTTATTTTGAGAAAAGCAAAGTATGTTTCCACACCAGTGCTATATACTGACATTTAGGAAAATTCTCTCCAGTAATAAAAGCCACCTCACAACCCCTGAATCAAATTTACTCTTTTAAATCTCACAGGATTTGGGGAATGTACTTATAACATAGAGTCTTATTATAGATGGGCTGCTAAAAATATTCAGAGACCCTTTTGGAAAGAATGTCATTTTATTTAATAAGAACCCTCAAGTAAGCTTTTCTTTGTACTCACGTTAGGATAAGCAAAACGGCTTCTGATGCAAGTTTTTCAAGGTAAATACAATTTTGAACTTGACCCTGAATTACCCTGAATCATGTCCTACTCCAGTTAACACTGCTGCTCTTCTCCTGGGCTCCACTGCCTCCATCGTGAGCTTCTTCTGCAAAGTAGGTCTGCTCACATCCCCCCCCCCCCCACCCCACCCCCACCAAACCCCCAGAGCTCCAGCTGGCTTACAGTGAGGGTCACAGTCAGCCGCGATAGCCTAACACTGCTTTGAACTCACCTCCACCTCCCTATTCTCCTGGGTGTCCCCAGTTCTAGCTGCACAGGCCCCGAGCAAGTCTTTAAACTCCCCAAACACACTCAGGGCTTTTGCACTTACGGTTCCCTCTGCCTAGAATGCTCTTCTGCATCCCTGTATCTGTTGGCTCTTTAGGCAAATGTTACCTCTTCATGGAAACCCTCCTTGACTACCTTTAAAAAAAATGCAACCACTCCTCCACTAGCACCCCCGGTCCCCCTTCCCAGCTTTATTTCATTCCATGGCACTTAACCACCCATCCTCTAATATACTATGTATCTTAATAATACCTGTATTTGCTATCATCTCTCCCCCTCCCCCCAGCCCCACATTAACCTTTGTAAAGACAAGAACTTGGGTCTATTTTGTTCAGTTGCTCAACAGTATCCAAAGGATCCAGGGTCTTTCCTCCCTCCTCTCTTATTCCCGTAGGCTGGCTCCCCTCCTGGTTTCACGAAAGCCACTGCCCTTCCAAACATCCCATACAGACAGCAACGTGCAGTGGCAGAAATGCGACATCCTGTTACATGTCCCTTCTAGAGGAAAATTTCCCCAGAGTCCAGCAAACTCCCCTCACATTTCCTTTCCAGGATTATAAGATATGCATGCTCTTGACCGGGCCCATGCACAGGCTTTAAGGATTCCATGCACTGTCCCCACTACCACCGCCAAGTTGTGTTGGAGAGAAAGAGCAGCATGCACATAAGAATAGGACGGGACAGGGGTCCAGGCAATCAGAAGAGAATTATGAGGAGTATTCTAAAAGCTGAGGTGGGAGGTGGCTGGCTTCCTGAAGGGACTGGGGAACTAAATCTAGGCATCTTCCCCCTTCCCATCACCTACCAGCCCTCATCTGACCCTGCCAACAGAAATCACACAGATGAACAAACATCCTCTAACTTGAGGAGGTAATAAAGCACCTGGAACAGACGTGGGTACCATATACACATAATACAACCTTCATTTCCTCCTTCACCACCTCCCTAAACCCAGGCTCTTCATAAGACCACCAGTCCACACCACTCAGCAACAGCCCACTGCTAGGGAAGAATAAGAACTGTATCAAAGCCTCTGGAGAGATACTTGTGAGTACTCTGATCCTCGGCCACCACAAAGGCACAAGGGATGACAGCTGGGTAATGAGTTAAAATCAATACCCTATAAGTGTAGGATAAAGGTACACAAACAAATGAATTTGGATGTTGCAATGGAAAGACATAGGCACTCAACTGACCCTTCCAGGAAATTCTGGTTGCCCTTGGCTATTGGAGTATCATCAGCAGAGAGCTTTCAGGTGTCAGCCCCTTCAGGGATTGCCTCGGCTTCGCAGAGCTGCCTGGACTGAGATCATGCCTTTCCCATGATGTCCACATATGACTGATCGAGGTGGGAGTATAAAGCCATTGGACCACTTGTACATATCAGCTTCTGACTCCAAAATCATAGTCTGTTTATTGTCCTATTTTCTATTCTTTCATAATGCCCTAGTTATAATTATACTAGCTTTAAAACAAGTTTTAATATTTCTAGTGGTACAATGCTCCTTCATTACTATTCTTTTTCCAAACTTGATTGGTTATCCTTACTTGTTTAGTCAGTTTTCACTGGGGTTACATTAAACGTTTCAATTAAATTTATGAAGGATGACAATGTGGCATTCCCTCCAGGCTCTCCATTTACTCAGTGTCTCACAGTAAAATCTTGTGGTTGTAAATTGAAATTAAAGAACTAAAGAATGCCATTATTAGAATATTACACACCGTTAATGCAAAGATACTCAATACTGTTGATAATTCCTACTGTCAAACCACTTGGTATTTCAAACTGGGTAGGCTGGCATCCTGCCACTTACAATTGTGGCCACAAACAATCATGCCCTCCTCCCTTTTTTCAGATTGGAATGATTTTGGGATGGTCTTGGCCCACTATTTCTCAGCCTAGTGGCAGAGACCAAAAACTAAGAAGCAAAAAGCTGACAAGTGGTATGAGCTGCTCAAGGCAGTCAACTCACCAGAAATGGAGGCTGAAAATCAGCTCTGGCTTGTGGGAAATGAAGCTAAGAAATAGCTGGGTTGATAACATTATTCCCTTTTTATTTACCAGTCCACCGAAAGCCATCCAACCACAATTGTGGAATCAGAGAAAAAAATATTGCTTGTAACTACAAACCTATATAATAATGAGCGTCCTCACTGTCTGAAACCATTCCGTTACTTCCAAGCATGGGTGCCGTGCTCCTCCAGTCACATGGTTACTCAGAGGACTGTAAATTAGTGTAGGGTCAAGACCGGAATTGACAGAGAAGGAACTGCACATATAAGTAGACTCAAGATGCTGCTAAACCCTCTCAATATTAAAACTATCACATTATTAGGTTCACATCTTAAAAGGTCACGAAACATATTCAGAATAGTCTTAGTTTAACATCCTTCTAAGTCTGGCCATCATTATTTTCATTTTGCTCAACAGATTCACATCTCCTAAATAATCTTTCCCTA